TGTACTCAGCCTCTAGCAGAAATGAGTACCAGGAATTAATTAAATAATTTCCTGGGTAGTAAAGTGCAGCCGGCGCATAAGGCTGACAACCTTACCGCAATCTGTGAGCCGATTGTCTAGATAGTGTTGGCTCTTGTCTCACAACCCTATGGGCCTTCACTGCCTGTTACAGGGGTAGCTTTACTTTTTTACTTTATGGAACCCAAAACCTCATTGCCATGTTCATGAAAACAGTACATAAAACACTACCTTGTACTGATTTAGAACTGCCCTGGCTTTATGACACTCAGTGTATGTAGAAGTTTCACTCTGTTCCTACAATCTTACTTTGTTTGATACTCTTTTTTTTTTTTGGACACAAATATGATTGAACTTTGAGCATCAAATCCTGTGGGACTGTGGGACTGGTGGGACTGTTCATTGGCAGCAACTTAAGACTCTAAAAGAATTACAGAATGCTGCCTACAGGATGGTGAAATCAAACTTGTGAATTTAAAACCATAAGCTTCCTCAAAAGTAGTTGTAGCTGTTACAATAATGCTTTGTATTAGTGGACTGGCGAAAGCAGCTGTGGCTGGAGATGAACTGGCACTAGATCTCTTCAGTGGGTGGCGACCTCGAACAGCAGGCCAGAGGTTCTCCCTTCACTCGGGGCAAGGTGACAACTTGTGTTTCTACATTGGTGCCATATCAGGTGAGAAAAACTTAGAGTACATCAACTAAAATTACATATTCATAACTTTGGGGCAAAGGCCTGCCTAAGAAGCTGATAGTCACTCATCTAGTCAAGAAGTTTGTTGCCTTTTGTGGAACCCAAATTTCATTATCATGTTCACAAGAGCCTGCTAAAGAAATTGATCTGAAGCTGGTTGGATCCAGTACGCCCTGGGGGCCCTGTTTGGAAATGTGACTGATAATGGGAGTCTGTATTTAGTATTAAGTTCACTCTTCCCTAACATTTTTCAGTTATCCTTGCATGTTACTTTCACTTTTCATTCACATTTGGCAGAGAGGCAGCCTTTTGTTTGCCACCAATATGTCTTTTGGGATATAATGCTGTGTAGTCCATTCAATCTTAGCCTGCGTTACCAAGAAATGTCGCCTCCATCCTCATGGTCAGATAATTATCTGCTTGGCTTATTATAATAAGCCAAGCAAGAAACCAGCAGGAAGCAGGTAGCAAGCTGAACGCAAAGATGGTGATGACATGTTTCTTTTAAACATCAGTTGACTTTCAACAGACAGTATGGCATTATATCCTCAAAAAATAAATGATATTACTAAATTCAAACAAGCTCTAAAAGAGTTTCTTCTAGGTGGTTCATTTTATTCTTTAAATGAATATTATGAATGCAACACAAGGGGTATATAAAATTGACCTTGACAAGTCCTATTAACTAATTAAAAATATATAAATAATCATCTACTTTAGGTCTGTATACATACCAACTATGACCTTAATTTATTTTAACATACAATCTCTTGTTGTTTTATGAATTTATTTATTACCATAATAATTTTTAGTACACTTCTGAGAGAAATTATTTATTCCATTTCTTGTTCATGCATGTTAGATATTGTTATAGTTTTCTTTTGATGTGTGAGTGATGTAACATACATTATTTGATATTGTATTGTTTATTGATAATGTCCATTCATATGTGTGGGGATTTGTCGTTAGTCCAATGACAACCCACTTCTTCGGAAAGTTTGTAGGTCCTGAAAAGGACCGTTGGCTGCTGGGATGTTTGGCCGGTGAAGTAGCGCTATGTACGCCGGTAGAAAGAGATGTTGGTTGCGGTGTGTTGACTAATGTTGTGGCAGCTGAGTGAGTTGACTGGCCGCAGTGCGGGAGTTGCCTGGTTGCTGGAAAACATTTGCTTGTGGAGCGCGGTCGCAGGAGTGGAGAGGCGGTAGCTACGCCAGTTGCCCAGTGAGTCTGGCATGACTGCCGGCGAGTTGAGGCAGCCGAGTTGCCCAGTGAGTTGGGTGTGACCACTGGACAGCCGAGGCAGTCATGCCTGGCACAGCGAAGTGCCGATGCCTCCAAAGACCGAGCGCTGGTGACGAAATGTGCTGGTTGGCTGGCTGATGTCGACTGAGTGACTGTTTGTAGACTGATGCTGGCTGAATGCCTCTCAGTGTATCTCAGTGCTGCTGGGTTGGAGCTGCGCCTTTTTATACAAAGCGTGATGGAGGAGCAAAAATTTGCTGAGCGCTGATTGGCTAGCATGCGTAATGATGTGGATGCGGGCTGGCAGCAAGTGCTGTATAAATGTGAAAGTTGGAGGCAATTTGATTGGTTAGCACGCGTGATGGTGAAAAGTGAGTTGAATAGTGAACGTTGTAGAAATAGCGTGATATGTGGGATGTTCCCACATATGCATTGTTTTTATAAACTGTATGAATTTTATAAGATAAATGGTTAACCTTTATCAGACGGGCCATTTAATTTCCGGTAGGGGCAGCTGGACGGAGTTTATTTAAATGCCCGCCCTTCTAGGGCAATGAAATTGTAAGCATGTTTCTAAAAATGGTGTGATTTCTACATTTTTTATGATAAACGAACGAAATAAACGCTCCTTCAATGTAGAAAGAATATAGAATCAGATATTCTGATTTACAGATTTTAATATCTGTAAAAAATTTTTACACTCATTCCAAAAAGAAAATCCCGAAATTCACACATTTTCTGCACCATGCGTTCTAGCAGTGTAATACATTTTCTGCACCATGCGTTTTAGCAGTGTAAAAGTCCTTGTCGCGACCTCATACAATACTATCGCTTGTTGAAGCTTATTTATTGTATGGGACATGACGGTATGCAGAGAGTGTGGGCGTCTGATATTCGTTCGCTGTTAGAAAGACACATGATTACATTCTCAGAATATGGTGTTGCCAGATCGGTCATTCGTTCATTCATTGCAGTCAAACCACTGTGTTTGTAACGATTTTGAAACATCACAATATAAGTTTAGCCACCCATGACATCATGAAGTAGATATTTTGTTCAGCCAAGTTGTGAATGAGATTTTTGTATGTGTGGGCTCGAGATTAAGATTTATAGCTTCTTATTGTGGTCTAAGCACAGATATTCACTGCTAGAGAGCCGTATACACGACGACGTCGTATGGAAGATGGTGAAATTGAGAAACAGGTGTTCAATGACACAGATTCGGACTGCTATTCAACCGATTCTGAATGTGGCCGAGGAAAAATGGAGTTCTGATGCTGAAATTGAGAAACAGCTGTTCAATGACACAGATTCGGACTGCTATTGAACCGATTCTGAGGGGCGAGCAAAGTTGTAGTTCTGATTCCGGGACGAAGGGTCATCACATTCGTCGGCAACTTGGGGACCCCCAGACCAGTGTGGCTGGAGAGGTGTGAATAATTATTCCGGTGTAGCTGCGGGGATAAATATCACTGCAGCTCGACATCACTGGCCATATGACGTCGGTAGATTACATTAGATCACGCAGGAGGGAAGGCTGTCACCTTATAACGGTTGTGACCAAAAATTATGTAAATAGAACAACAATTTATATTTTAAATTTAATTTTAAAAAAATCTTTACACGCGTGGAATGCGCGACATCATATGATGTCGTTCTTCAATTTGTCCTTATTTTTAACGTCATATGATGTCGCTAGATTACATAAGATCATGCAGGAAGGAAGGCTGTCTCCTTATAAAGGTGGTGACCAAAAATCTTGTAAGTAGGACAACAATTTATATTTTTAATATAATATTAAAAAACCTTACACGCGTGGAATTCGCGACATCATATGATGACGTTCAGCCAGCTGCCCTAACTTTTAACGACATCATATGATGACGTTCGTCCGATAAAGGTTAATATGTTTTCATCTAATATTTAAGTCTTGTTGTAGTCACATTTTATTATGTTTAGTGACTGTGTTGTCTATGTTTTATATTATGTTATTTTGACTTGTTCCAGTGATTGGTTGGAACATTTGTTTTGATTTTTGATGCATTCTGTATCCAGTGGTGTGTCAACTTGTTTCTCGCCCTGTAATTGGATCTACTTGAATATAAGAATAAATTAAAATTAAAAAATTGAAATTTAAGATATTTAATTCTTCATAACCACCACTGTGAGAACGTCAAATCCTAGAGCGTAACCATTGATTTCCAAGTGACTCTGCTAACAGTCCAGGAAAATAGTGGACCATAATAGGCATAGTGCAGACTTGAAAGTCTGTTTCGCATACAAATGTCAACACGTGGTTAAGATCCATTTAAGTATTGTCCTTCAATCAATGTCTAGGTCTCCCCAGTTGTTTTTCTCATCAGGTTTCGTGACCAGAATTCCATATGCGTTCTTACTGCTTACATGTGTACTATATGACCCAGTCATCTCGTCTTAATGTTATTCAAATTATGAAGCTCCTTATTATATGTCATCATAATAAATCCTGTGCAATATCTCAGGCAGTTAGTAGCAAGCCTCTCACCACAGGGGCTCAGGTTTAATCTGTATGGAATTTGTGACAGAGTGGCATGAGGTGGGTTTCTCTTCAAAGATTTAATTTTTCCTGTATCAGATATTCCAGCAATCCCCACTACTTGTCTCTCGTCAGGGACTGGTACAGTAGGATGATTTGAGGCTGCAGTACCAAGAGATTCATTGTCACCTCACTCATTAAAATTAAAGGAAGACCTTTGTAATAAACCTTGGGTTCTAGAAAATACCCCAGTTGGTTCACAAATAAAGGCTTCATCCTGTTTACATTGTCCTATTATCTTGCAGGTGGTTTGTTCTACTTCACAGAAGAAGGAACATGTACAGAAGTATTAAATACAGAAGGTGTGCCACTGAAGAAAATTCTATACCATGAGCACAAAGATGACTTAATTGTTATGACTGAGGATCTTAATGTTGGTCAGTTCCAGGTGAACCACAGTGGAAAAGTGACAGAAACAATGAAGGTAAAAGCTGATATTTTCTATGTTCAGGTAATACAAGTACATTAAATTAGTCTGTCATAGCTCAGGCAACCACGTGCCAGCTACTCTTTGGAGAGGACTAGGTTCAATCCCATAACCCCTGCCAATCTTCATTCCACCAAATTCTCCATCATCATAATCACCCGGGGCAGGCTACAATAGACCAATCAGTGGCCGCCATGCCGAGTGGACCCAGTTGGACTCCACCCCCCACTAAGGTTCAATCTCATTATGTCAGATTTCTGGCCAAAGAATTGGCATTTGGTCACATTCATCTTGAACAGTTAAGTTTTCATGACAGCCATAATTTAATGATGCTGCATCCATCACAGCCCCTGAATTGTCCACCAGGTCTGTACAGCAAAGCATAATTATCACCTCAGTCCTTTATAAAGGTTCTACCTCTGATGAGGCACTTAGCACAAATCAGAATAAAGAAGAAAAATGTTGAAGAAAGCAGTTTTCTGGGATTTGGCACCGTGTATATGTGGTGTTAACCGACGTTTCGGAGGAACGTATCGCTTGCAGATTTCTTATATTTTTTTTCTTCTACCCTGAAGATGGAGGCGATACGTTCCTCCGAAACGTCGGTTAACACCACATATACACGGTGCCAAATCCCAGAAAACTGCTTTCTTCATAGTCACCGCCGTGAAAGCCTCAAATCTTACAAGATAAATGTTCCCTTTTCATTGAACTAAGAAACTGACCATAAATATTCACCCTGACATCCTTCCACTGCATTCATTAAATTTTTAAAACTAATTGTATTCAACAAATAAAGAACATGTGCTTGAATGAATACTGAAATAACATATCTCTGTAACAAAAATCAGAATGTTGACATGTAGTATGTAACCGCACCATGCAGGGACCTCGGGAATGTTTTTCATTTACATTGTTTATTACCATGCACTACATGGAAACGAAATGTAGTACTGTTAACAATAGACGAT